GGTGGGTTGGTTGGTTGGTTGGTTGGTTGGTTGGTTGGTTGGTTGGTTGGTTGGTTGGTTTACATGGCAGGCTTTCCTGCTTCTAAGCCATTCTGTCGTCACTGAAAGGAAAAGCGAACGCAGCTGCTCTGAGGGGAAAAGATGTGGAGGAAACTCCTGTGCACATCTCTGAGTAAAAGCCCCGAGGAGCTGCCCGCTCTGTGGTTCTGGAAGGAGATGGAGCTGTGCAGAGTCAGTTCGAGATCGGCCGTGGGCAGGGGTTTGAAGGAGGTCCGAAAACAGGGAAACCACTCTGCACGATGCCATGGAGACTGACAGGTGGACATACTGATGCCATCTTACATTTGCTCAGAGCCATTGAAGATGTGACACCACCAGGAGACCCAGTGGGAACCAGATAGGGAACAGCGGCAAGCAGATTTGGGTGCCTCAGTTGAAGCACGTGACCTACTCCAGCAGGGATGTGGACAGTGGGAGATTCTGGGGGACAGAAGTTATATGGGAACTCTGTAGTGTCTGCTCAACTTTACTATTAATCTACAAATTTTCTAAAAAAAAATAGAGTCATTAAGTAACTATAGGTTAACACCATGCCACTTAATTCCAGTTTCTATATCACAGGAAAAAATATTGACCAGGGAAATGCAGATTGATACTGGTCTTAACTGAGACACTTGACAAATTCTCCATCTTTTATTTGTGTATAATTCCTTCTTAAGGATGTCATTACATAGAAAACCTGGGACTGTGGGGTATTCAGTGGGTAAAGGCACTTGCCACCAAGCCTGGCTGAGTTTTATCCCTGGAATCCATACAGGGGAAGGCCAAAACTGACTCCTACAACTGGTCCTCAGACCTCCACAGGCTTGCTGTGGCACATACCTACACACACAAAATTTTTAAGATGATCTATTGCTTTCTTGTTAAAGTCTGTTCCCTTAAAACAATGCCCCTGATTTAACACCAGTTGAAAATTGCACTGCATAGTGCATATGGAGGTGATAAAAGGAAGAAATCCCCGTAGGAGAAAGAGTGCTGTGGCCAGAGGGGAGAGCAGAGTGGGAGAAAGGGCTAAGGACAGGAGTTGCGGATGAGCCTGTCCCCGTTGGCTAAGGTGGGCTTGCCAGCCAATGAGAGGTCGTGAACATAAAGAAAGATGTAGTCCAAGCGCATTCACAGAACATTTGCTTCTGAACGACTGCTAAGTGAAAACAGCGGAGATTTTATTCCGGGGGCGTTTAACGACTAGCCCATTTGGGGCCCACAGAGCCGAGCCAATCATTACAGAGACACCCACTCCAGCGGTTATGTGGGTTTCTTGGGTTGTTTCCTTTTAAATCAGAAGTTCTCAAACAACTTCAAGTTCAACCACAATTAAACCCACTGAAGAGCATAAGAGAGTGCGCTTTAGAGGTCCTCCATTTGGCTCGTAAAATCTCAGCACAACAAACCAGGAAATATTCAATTATTCCTAGGACGCCATAAACATTTTACGGTTGGGTCATGTTATTCCTCTGAAGTCTCTGAGGCAGGATGTTTGGTCTGCACCCGCCTCCCATCTCCCCTCACCCCCTCACCGCCCCCCTCCCCCTAAGCCCCATTTGATCTTTTTTAAAGACTTCAGGGATGAGTTTGCTTTTCAGTCTTCACTGTCTTTCTTCACATCAGTGTTCCCAGAGGAGATGAGCTCTCAGAAAAGGTGACCTCTGCCATCTGGGAAGCCCCTGGAGCTGCTCCATGATAGAAGAATTCCTTCCTGCCAGACAGAGGCCAAGTGGTGCCCAGTGAACTCAAAATGGTGCCCCTGGGGGAAATGTTTGCCCAGCCCACACTTGTCCCAAGTCAAAAAGCCATTCTCTGTGTCCCTTCGCTTGCCACATTGCTGCCCTGCCAGCCGCCCCCTAAAGCCTGGGGCTCCTTGCACCTCTAATCCATGAGAGTGTGCACCAATGGAGTTCAAACGACAAGGTCAGCTCCATTTTGCTCTGGATTGGCCTGACCTTGAACCTCCGAGTTGTGAATTTCTAGTTTGTTCTGAACCAAATAAAAACAGCTAATGGCTACAGAGCATTTAATGTCTGTCACCACACAGAATAACTCCCAGGAGTGGCCTTCCAAATCTCCACTTCACAAAGGAGAACACTGAATCACAGAGAGGCAAGACTCATTCCCGAGACCAGAGTGCCAGAGCCTTCCCAAGATGCTGGCCAAGCCAGGATTCAAGAGGAGGAGGGCACAGAGCTGCCTGCTGCCTGCCTTGTTGCTGGGTCAGCCCTCCGCAGCATCTCAGTGATGCTCTGGATCCTCATTTTATTCCCATTTCCCAGGTTCAGTTCCTCCCTCAATGGTTCTAATGTCCCTACATCTTCCAGGTGCCCCTTTCCTTGTGGCACGTCTCTTTGGGGGAAGTGTCTTTGCCCTGGCTTTCACCCCTTCACTCCAGTCCTCAGGGGACCCACTGCCAGCTCCCATCCTGGATCTGTTTCCTAATTGTGTCACTTTCATGTCTCATCCAGACAGCCCTGTCACCCACTGTTACTTGTCACTGGGCAATGTGCGTGGCTTTCTTGAATGGACTCCATCCAAAAGCTAAGCAAGGGGTTGGGCTGAATTAGAAAGCACCCTAAATGCAGAAGGCTTTGTGCTTACTCTTCTATAAGGCAGGCTCAGCTTTTTACAAACCCCCAGCCCACCTCCCACAGCCCAGTGTCACTAAGTCCCCGGTCTTAGTCTGCCTTTGCCTTTGCCTTTGCCTTTTTCAGTAGCCTGATGTCTTGGCTCAGCCAGAATTGACAGGGCTAGCAAATAGGGAGACCAGAGAGGCATAACATTTTAAATAACTATTTGCTTTTTTTCCCCTTTGGTTTAGTGTTTTTATTTTTATTTATCATTTGTGGGTACATGTGCATGTGTGTATATACTAATGATGTGGGGTGCATGTCTCGGGTGTGGGGGTGAAGAGACAACTGTGTGGAGTCAGTTCTCTCCTTCTGCCTTTGCCTGAGTTCTAGCCGCTGAGCTCAGGGTGTCACAGCCAGCGCCACCCTCTTCCTCTTGGCCTAATTCTGCTTTGTTTTGAGTCAAAGTCTCACCATGTGGCCCAGGCTGGCCTTGAATCCACAATCCTCCTGCCTCTGCCTCCCATGTGCTGGGGATTCCAGGCATCTGACACAGAGCCCGGTTTGTTCTGACATTTTTAAATTTGGCTAATTCACCTAGTCTGCCCATTTTCTTGACCTGGTGGGGTTGGTGGTCACACAGGTCACACAGGTCCAGCTTACACAATGTACCAATGTACCAGGAAGCCTGATAAAGGAATACCCAAAATATAGACAAACTGTAGAATGGCACCCAGGGAAGCTAGTATATTCAAAAATATTGTGGATAATGTGCAAAACCCCCTGTGCGAACACCATTGCCAGACGAAACCAGCCAAATACACGAAGCCAAAAGCTTAAATTCAGAAACAAGTCAAATGGCAGTGACCGGACACTAAGGGGAGGGAGTAGTTGCAGGTACTGTGGGGTTGGGCTCCTGGGGCCAAGAAGAGACCCTCCTACCCCTGACCCCAGGAGCACAGGACCAGAGCACCTCACAGAAAGGGATGCTGCATGGCCTGGGGACAGAAGAGTCCCACATTTTACCCTGAGGAAGGGAAAAATCAACAAAGGGAAACTAAAAATACAAATCTAAATGTGTTGGGGGGGCAGAGGTGGAGAGGGAGAGAGACAGAGATAGAGACAGAGAGACGGAGAGCGAGAGACAGAGAGAGGAGGGAAGGAAAAGAGAGGGAAGAGAGAATAAAATAAAGAGAGGGAGGAAAAAGACACAAAGAAGGAGGAAAGAGAGGTGATGGAAAGGAGACAGAGAGAAGGGAAGAGAAAGACAGAGAAAAGAAAGACTGAGAAACAGAAAGTGAGAGGAGGGGGAGGAGAAGAACACACACACACACACACACACACACACACCTCAGTGAGCACACCTACTGTCAAAGTCTTGGCTTCTGATCATCGCTGTGCCCCCCCCACCCCCACCCCCGTGAAAAACTCCTTTGGAGACATGACAGACTCCAGATTTGGGGCAGAAACATGCAAAATGACATTTTATTGTGTCAGAAACAAGGAAGTGAAAACAACATGAAAAAATGATGATACATGTCAAAAGCTGGGAAGCAATATAATAGGAGAGCTATATTGACTAAGTCCGGAACGACGTGAGCAGAACAACAGACAACGTGAGTAGATTCTCACTCCTGGAGTCCAAGCCATTTCCAAGCTTGAAACGGTGACAGGAGCCCCAGTATTTCCAGTTCATCTTCACGAAGCACTTGTTACTAGTACGGAGGAAAGCAAAGTAGTCTTTACAGTGGAGAGTCTGGGAAGTGTCTTTTACGTTGTTCCTAAGGGGACAGGCAAATGGAGCATCCTCTGATGGGACACTGGAGGGAACGCAGAGCACATCTCTGCCACCTTCAGGTGTAGGGGATGGGTCTTTGACTGGAAGTGGGAAAACACTAGCCTCACAGACTGAAGGTGTTCCATGGAATAAGTAGTCCATAACTCAAAGGGGTCATGGCGATTGCAGAACTCTCCTGGGTTAAGGAAAATCAAAGGAGTGCAGGACTTTAATACTCCGAGTTTCCTAACAAGAACTCCTGGAGCGCTGTTAAGTTTCAAACCTAGGACAAAGGGCTCAGGTGCCTATTTAACTGTCCTCCAGGTTCTCCCAGCATCCCTCAGTCCTTATTTGTTACAGAGTATGGCTGGCATACCCAGCCCTCTTACCCTGAACTCTGCAGCCTAGGGGCTGGGCTGCCCTTCTCCCTGAGGCTCTTCCCTATATAATCCAGACATTTTGGTTACCATCCTTTCATACCTTTGGCCTCCTGGCTGCTGTACCTGGCTCCCCTCTCTCCCTTCTCCCTTCCCCTCTCCTCTTCCCACATGGCCCAGCTCTGTCTGGTCTTGTCCACTCTGGACTCTCCCAGATGTCCCTATCCCCGACTCCGGCTATGTTCTCCCACATATCTAAAGCAAACTTTCTCCTCCACCACACCTAGGTGCAGTCCTTTCCTTCCTTCCCCTTTTATTTCTTTTTTTTTCAAGCTCCTGGTGAAATGAGGAGGAAGCCCGTGGCCAGAAGGACATCACTTTCGGAATCTGTCAGCTGCACTGTGTAGAGATGTTTGCACCCATGATCTTTGTACTCAAATCCCAACTTTTCTGTATGTTTGAGGTTGTTTCAAAGTCTTAAATGTTTACCAGTACCTCTCCCCACCTTTGCCAAGGTTCAGGGAATGTTGGCAAAGAGGAAGAAAAGAATGTAAGAGCTGGAGGGGTAGGAGCATTGTGAAATGCCCTCTTGTGGGCATAACAGGGCCAGAGCACTAATAAACTCACAGTAGCTGTGTCCACGTATGACCTGTACAAGATCAAGCCAGTCAGCATTCCATCATGGAAGCCGAAGGGACTCCCACCCCATGCTGGGGGGCTACTGACAGTTGACTGTAACTGGGGAAAAGATAATCATTTCTCTTTGAGAGTATGGCCACTAATAGATTGCCCACATGCATGCCCATAGAGGCAGCACCAACTGGACAAATAAAAATATCTGATATAAAATACAATATGTAGATAAAATTGAAAATAAATTTAAAAATTCCAAAATTGAGCTTAGCAGCTAAAAAGAGTGGGGATGAAATCTATAAGCTCTGAACCAGTAGATAGGAAAATAACTCTAAAAAAAAAACTATCTGATTTTAAGAAGATAAAGAGAAGGAAGAAGTTGAAACCCACAGATTAAATCCAATAAATATCAGACGCCAAATAAGGGTTGTCATTCAGGCCTGCAGAAATAATAAACAAAAGAATTGTAATTGGGTTAAATGCCTCACGAAAAATGTTTCCACTGGAATGAAGCAACACTTGTCTCTGTGTGTGTGTGTGTGTGTGTGTGTGTGTGTGTGTGTGTGTGTGTGTGTGTGT